TAGTATGAAAATTGCTAATTATTTAAGTAAACTAAATAATTAAAATTTTAAAATAACTTTATCATCATCATCATCAGTTGCACAACAGCCCCATAGAGGGCCAAGACCGTCTGCCTTTTGGCAGATTCCGAAACATGAGATGTTTTCTTTTTATGGAGTAGGGGTGACAGCCCAACGCTCGACAGTCGTATTAGACCGGGACGTACGGTTTAAAGTGGATTCCGAACCACTACACTTATCCATGGCACAGCCGGGAATCGACCCCTGTGGCACCGAGCGCCAGAGCGCAAGTCACTCGGCTATCAAGTCCGGTTAAAATAACTAACAATATAAAATTTGAAAAATAAGAACTTTTTCTTCCAAAAAAGAAATATAACTACATGTTGTTGTTCTAACGCATCTGGCAATAGAGAGACAATTAGTCTTTAGCAATAAGCCATAAGCAAGGGCTGCACCGCTGTTACTCATTTAGCACTACCCAGTGAGCACATGTAGTTTGAAGATATACTATGGACGCGAGTAACACTACCCCCGCCATGCTCTACGATCCTATTAGACCGGGCCTACGGTTTAAAGTGGATTCCGAATCACTTCAAGCGTCCATGGTAACGCCGGGATTCGAACGCGAAACCTGTGCTACCGAGCGCCAGACACTCGGCCATCAGGTCCCATATATAACTGTATGTAAATATAAAGATATTATTATTAATACAAAGAAATAAATAATAAATATAAAAAAATAACGTAAAAAAGTGTTTTTATGGACCCATTTCAAAAATATAACTGCCTGCCTTGCGAAACATATTCGTTAAGAATTAAAATACAGTAAAGGGTAATAAAATTCGACCTTTTCGGTTATTATTTCAATATTTTAATTATTCTCAAATCAGGGGTTGAAAAAAATCTGTAAGTTTCTTTGAATCATTAAGTGCTTTCCATAGACAAAAAAAAAAAAAAAAAAAAAAAAAAAATATATATATATATATCGTGTTTAAATAGAACTTGTTTTTGCACCGTTGAAATATAATACTTTGAAATTCTTTCATAAAAACTGGAAGAGGTATGCCAGAATTTATAGCTCTCTAATTAAGATAAGAATCCTATAACTACATCCAAAAGAAATTGGTTGGTAAGAAATGTAATTGCATAATTATCAATTTCTCATTCAGAGAAAAGAAGAAAGAAAAAAAGATAAGTGCCATCAAAAAAGACATTAGCCGTAAAGAAAAAAGGGAATACTTCAACAGGGTGTAAAACATTTTTTTCTTTCTTGTAGCTGTTATTGATTGATCAAAACCGTGATATCTTCTCGACTTGAGAAGTGTCATAAAAAAGTTATCAATAGAAGGCCGCAACAAACAAATGGAAGTTTCATTACATAATCATTCTCTCACGCAAATCGTCTGCTCAGAGAACGATCCCAGAATTCTTTTCATCAGTATTCCAAAAACACCTGCTCTCTGAACGATCTTTTAAAGATAAATAATCTCAATCGTTTTCAATTTCAAAAATGGCTATATTTAATAACCGAACAGCAAAGAACTGAAAGAATAAAAAACATAACAAATATAAATATCTCGTGATACATTTTGGTAGTTGGAAGATTGGAAAAAAATAAAATATCTTTTGACAGCTGCGAACATGTTATGAATGGAACATTCTTTATGTTTACGTTTCCAACTGTCAATAGATGTTTTAAAGCGTGTGAATGATGAAAATGACTCAGATGGACAAGGAATATTTATGATGTCGGACTACTGCTTTTGATTTAGATGTTACGCTGACAGTAATTAGGGTATTTTTTTCTGTGTAAGCGTAATTATATTTTTCTGCTCCCAAAATGTTCTTGCTAACGATGCGTGTTTCGGAACATGTAGTTCTACAATTGTAAATTGTATGCTGTCTCTTCAAAAAGCAGAACAGTGCAGAGAATTGAATACTGTATTTAAGTAGCAAGAAATCGTTAATTTGTATTACCGCAATTGTGTCTTGTATCTCTTTTTAGTAAAATAAATATACAAAATATCAAATTCATTGAAATGAGATTTTTGAGACATCTAAATAACCCTTTTCACCAGTCGTTTGCTATTATTTCTCTTTCTTTCTTAAAGACGAAGTTCAGCACGGTTTTTGTATACGTTAAATGTAGTTAAGTATGTTTTTTTTCTTTAAAAATATATGTCTTTTTTTTTAAATTTTCATACAGAAAAATTGTATAAAAAGTACACAGAGTGATGAATAGTTGAAAAAGTGAGTTATGTTTGCTAAACTAAAAAATTTTATTATAAAATTTTTTACGTAAAAAAATAAACCTTTTCGTTTTTATTTATATTTTGATAAGTTATCAAAATTTAATCAGAGAACAAATAAAAATCTTTACGTTGAATATTTGTGTATATTTATAGCCTATTTTCAAATTAAGCAATTTAATTGTGAAACCTATTAACTGCATAACTATTGATATATTAAAAAAAAAAAAAAAAAAAAAAAAAAAAACATAAAAAGTCAAAAAATTATTATTAATAATAATTACGTAATCAATAAATAAATTGATTGATATTACTAATATTTTTAATGAATGGTATTAATATATAAATAATATACAGGTATCAAAATAAGGGAAACACGTATGAATAAAAATGGTATTTAAGACTACGCTTCGTAAACATTAAAATGTAATCTTAGCTACCAGTTTCTTTTTAATATAAAAAGTAATTATCATATTAGTATGAGGTAGCTTTAGTGAAGTTGTATATGTCTCCGATTTTTGTGAAAAGTGTAAAATGTCAGGCCTCACAGACTTTCAAAGCGGCCAAATTTTAGGAGCTCGATTAGCTGGAGCAAGTGTAACCGAAACATCCAAGCTTTCAGCGCTTCTAGAGGTACGGAGTACGTATCTTTCACTGTGTCCAAAAAGTAAAACGAATTTTCAATTTAAAATTCCCGGAACTTATGGAATCTCAATTTTTTCTTCTTCTTTTTTAGGTTGCTGGCCCTGTCCTTTACATCTGTGTGAAATTTGACGTCAAAATATCCATTAGTGTTTGAGTTACGCTTGACTTTGTGCGACGCTAAAACTGATTTCGGCGATTTTTGAAATGTCTGAATTCATTGAGCAAAGAACTTGCATTACATTTTGTTTGCGGAACTGTGTAGAATGTGGCAGAAGGCATTTGGAGAGCATTCCTATATCCGAAAGAAATATTTAGAAGTGGGGTATAAACAGTTCACAGAAGGAAGAGAACGCGTTGAAGACGAAGAGCCCTCTGATCGACCACCAATCTCAACCGACGAAGCTCACGTCTAAAAAATTAAAGATTTGGTGCTTGCAAACCTTCGATTTACAATTAGAAATCTTGCTGATGATGTTGGAATTTCAAAAGGATCGGTCAATTTCATTTTCCCATTTTTGGGCCCAAAACGCGTCAAATCTCGAAAGTAGCGAAAATACTGAATGCGCCAGCTCACACTGCATTGATTCTTCGTGACTTTTTCCTTCGTGAAATGAAGCCCATTTCGTTCCACAACCATCGTATTCATACCGTGCGACTTCTGGCTATTCCCTAAACTCAAAAGACCACTCCGGGACACCGTTTCGAGTCGATTGAAGAGATTCAATGTGAATCGCCGCGCGCTTTGAAGGCGGTCCCTGCCGATGACTTTTTAACATACATTGAGGATCAGAAAAAAAGTTGTCATAAGTGCATTGTGTCCGGAAGGGAGTACTTTGAAGACGATGAAATAGACGATGAATAGATGAAATAGATTTGGAAGAATAATTGGTCTTTCTTTTTAGGTACGGTAGTATATCAAATTTTCTTGAGTGAAAGAGATTGACGGATAATGAAGCGGCACTGTGAAATTCGGTTAATTATATTTTTCTGTTTCAAAATGTTCCTGCTAACGATGCGTGTTTCGAAACATGCAGTTCCACGATTGTAAATTGTATGCTGTCTCGTCAAAAAGCAGAACCGTACAGAGAATTGAATACTGTATTTAAGTAGCAAGAAATCGTTAATTTGTATTACCGCACTTGTGTCTTGTATCTCTTTTTAGTAAAATAAATATACAAAATATCAAATTCATGGAAATGAGTTTTAGAGACATCTAAATAACCCTTTGCGCACGTCGTTTGTTATTATTTTTCTTTCTTAAAGGCGAAATTCAGCGCGGTTTTTGTATGCTTTAAATGTAGTTAAGCATGGTTTTTTTTAAAATATATATATTATTTTTTTAAAAATATTCATGCAGAAAAATAGTTGAATATGCGCTAATTTTCTATAAAATGTAAAAACGTAGATGTATGTAAAACTAAAAAAATTATACTATAACATTTTTTTATGTAAAAGAAAAAGCTATTCATATTTTATTTATATTTTGCTCAATTATCAAAATTTAATCAGAGAACAAATAAAAGGTTGAATAATCTTCAATCAAAGTTGAAATTTTGTATAGACTTATAGAATTAAGTAATTTAATTATGGAATCTATTAACAACATAATGATAGATATATTCAAAGATCAACACAAAAAAATCGAAAAGATGATTATTAATATTACTAAGTACTAAATAAATAAATAAATTACAAATTTCATTAATAGCTAATAATATTTCATTAATTTTTAATCAATGGTATCCCTATACAAATAATATACGGGCAGTTATCAAAATAATGGAATCACCCATGAATAAAATATAGTACTTTTTTAATATGTTGTTTGTTGTTTCTTATCCCACTTGGCTGGCCAAGCCCACGAGCCCATATGGACTCATGATTGAAGGGGAAGGAAGCAGCTTCTGTTGTGATGGAGCACCCGTAGGTAGAAGCCTGACTTTTGCTCCGTGACGCTCTTACAGTCATAGAAGACCAGGACCTACGGCTTAAAGTGGATTCCGAACCACTACAAACATCCATGGCACCGCCGGGATTCGAACCCGAAACCTGTGGCACCGAGCGCCAGAGCGCTAGACACTCGGCCATTCAGGTCCCACATTTGCCAACGGCACGCAGTGTTTCAAGGTGGTCACCCACCCAAGTACTGACCGCGCCCAATGATGCTTAACTTCGGTGATCTAACGAGAACCGGTATATTCAGCATGGTACGGCCGTTGGCGATTCTTTTTTAATATAAAAAGTATATATCATGGTAGTACGAGATACTTTTAGTAAAGTTGTATACGTCTTAGGATTTTTGTCAAAAGCGTAAAATGTCAGATCTCACAGACTTACAAAGAGGCAAAATTGTGGGAGCCGACTAGCTGCAGTAACTGTAACCGAAACATCCCAGCTTATAGGAGTTTCTAGATGTACAGTGTCTAAAGTCATGACAGCTTACACGCAGCGCGGTAAGACCAGCTCGGCAAAGCAAAATAGCGGACGGAAGGAGAAACTCAGAGCGAAAGAGACCGACGGGTATTGAAGCGTATTGTAACATCCGAAAAGAAAACAAATGCAGCCAAAGTGACAGCACAGTTCAATCAGAATCTGGATTCTTCAGTTGTCAATAATTACAGTTAGGATGCACCTTCATAACAGGACATTTACGGCAAGGCAGCAATTTCCAAGCTACTTGTCACATCTGTTAATACCAAAACGTCGTCTAGAATGGTGCACAGCCGCAAAACCTGGTCTATTGATAGGTGCAAGACAGTTATATGGTCAGACGAAACGTCTTTCACCCCAACAGGACGGGGGCACGTTTGGAGGACATCTGCACAAACGTATGTTCGTGATTGTCTCCTTCTAATTGAGATTGATCTGTCATGGTATAGACAGACATGTTGTGGTCTTATTCGCTGGATAGTACTCCTATCCATGCAGAGGGAACTGTCCAATCATAGTTTGATGAAACACGAGGATGAATTGAAACATCTACCTTGGTCCACACAGTCAGCCGACCTCAATATCATAGAACCGTTATGATCAATTTCAGAACAATCAAACCGGAATCTATATCCTCTACCGACATCTCTCCTGGAGCTTCCACAATATCTCCATGAAAAATGTTTCAATATTCCTCTAAACACTATTCAGCACTTGTATGATTCGATTCGCAGACGAATCCAAGTTGTATTACATGCCAAAGGCGGTCCTACGCCATATTATTAAAGGATTCTTTATAAACATTCTTATAAAGAATGTTTATAAATGTTTTTTATATTCTTTCATTATTTTGATAACCACCTGTATGTAATTTATGTATCATACAATTGAAATAAAGTTCTAATTGGTAAACTTGCCTTCCATAATATTTTTTAATTTATTATATTATTCTTGAAATTTTTATACTTAATTTAATGAGTCCACAAATTCGTTATCAAAACGGGAAAAAATACGTGCTTTTGTTTGATTTTATTCAATAAAAAATATTTATTTTAACGCATGTAACGAAATAACCTTTTTTCAACAAACAATTGCTTTTAAAAGTCATTAAAAAGAAATGTTATCGTCTTCTCATAATTATTTTTTATTATTTATAAAATAATTAGCCAAAGTTTTAATTAAGAAATAACAACGAAATAACAATATTTTTTATATGACAACATAAAAATAAATTAAAAAATTAAACGACAATATAATATTTTAATATAATTTACTAACTTTAATCTAAAAATTACCCAGATTTAGGTACCCAGAATTATCCCTAAAGAATTATCTAAGAATCTTTTAATGGATTAATAAAATAATATCTGTAGAATCTTTTAATGTATTAATAAAATAATATCTATAGAATCTTTTAATGTATTAATAAAATAATATCTATAGAATCTTTTAATGTATTTTACATTTTCTGAATAAATACTTTTTAAAAAAAATTTATCATTACCTTTGTAATTATTTCATTTACTTAAACTGATAACATTAAAAGCTAAATTTTATCTTAATATCTAACAAAGCATAAGTGCTTTCACATTCAACACAATCATTGTTTGCTATAATTATTATGAACAACGTTTTTTTATAATCATTTTCATTTTATCGTGTATCAATATGATGCTTTCTTGATCTAAAACTTAGAAAGTCTACAATAATGTATACATGATAAATAAAACTAGACGCTAAAGTAGAAATTAGTACGTTTTAAAATTTAAAATCGTCTAAAATGAACAAACACAGAAAAAAAAAATAATATTATGATTACGCACAATTTGATAAAATTCACGGCGTTGACATTGGTAATTATGCGATAATGTAAAATAACAAATTATTTTACAAAACTAAAATAACAAATACAATTTTTAACTAGTGCTTTTTATATTGATGTAGTTACTGAAAAGAATTTGGATTTAAGTAATGTAATGAATGACATTTTCTTTAAATTTTATGTAATAAAAAGGTTAAACATATGCATGAGTGGCAATTGATGTATTGTAATATTGTAGAACAACAGTGCTTGTAAATGTTATTGTCAACAGTACTTGGAAATGTTACTTGTGGTACTTCAATGGTACTTAATGCAACTTGTGTTACTTCAATGGTACTTGAAAATGTTACTTGTGGTACTTCAACGGTACTTGGAAATGATAAAATGGTACCTGTGGTACTTCAATGGTACTTAGAAATGGTAAAATTATACTTGTGGTATTTCAAGAGTACTTGTTACATATTGTAGAAATGCAATGGTACCATAACATTTGATAATTAAATTTATTTTCACATAATCTCAACTTGCAACATAAATTCGATCAATGGAAAAAATAATGGTCATAAATATGTCTTTTACATAACAAATTGAAATTCTAATGCTTAATTTAATGTTTTTATTTAAAAAAAAATTCTTATAGATTTTATTCTTTTAATAACGTAGTTATTTTCATCAGATCAAGATATCCACGTATAAATCATGAATCTATTTGCTTTTTTTTATTGTATTGATTGCTTATGGATTGTTTATATCAGGGGTGGCCAACCCAAATGATCTTGCGGGCCACTTTGGAAATGCATCCTAACTCCGCGGGCCGCATCTAAAATTATATATCCCCATATTAGATTGAGACTCACTATAGACATTTATTTAGAATGAAAAATTGAAACATCATGAATTATTATTATTGTGTTTACTATTATTCTTACATGTGAACATAGATATTATAATAATACTGATACTAAACGCATATTGTAAAGAAATATATAACACCAAAAATTAAATATAAAAAATATATAAATTTAAACGAAATAAAAAAAAAATGAAATCATTAAAAAATATTTATTTTATTAGTGTTGATATTTTTTTTTTTTTCGATATTTGTTTTTAGCTTTTGCAAATCCATCAATGCGCTTCATGCGTTCGCAGAATATAATTTAATTATTCTGCGAACTCATTACTGTAAACTCATAAATAAAACAGGCAATATCTGTCCTATATTCGCAAGAATATTATTTTAAAGTCAAAGTTAATTTTTTCTCATAATTTCGATAGTTAATGTTTGAATATATGGATGCACACATAATGTACTTTTTTAATGCATTGATTTTCACTACTTTGGACCATTATAAAATAAATATATTTTGTAAAAGTGGAAAGAATCTCGCGGCTGGGATAAATATTCAAGCTGGGCTGGCCATCCCTGGTTTATATTATTGTTTTGAAATATGTCCAAAATTGTATAAACAGAAAACAATACACAATCAAACAAAATATAGAAAATAGTGTCATCATTTACTGCATTTAAAATAGACATTCATTTAATTTTTGATAAAACAAACGATTTCTAAGAAACATTTATTATTCACTGACTTCATAAAAATAGCTAATGAAAATGAAATATAATTCTTTGTTGATCATTATTTTTAAATTTTAGCTCGTTATTAATTAGCTAAAGTTTTTAGTGAAAAAAAAATTCTGAAATTTACAACATTCCTTATATGGTTACAAAAAGATATCTGGAAAATGAAAATTAATTTGAAGGGCGATATATAATGTTTTCATATCCTTTCTCGACCTCTAAACTGAAAAGTTGTTTTTAGATTAAATACGATACCAACAACCTTGAAGATTTTCTCACGCTTTGCTTGATAAAGCCGTTATCGCTAAGTGTTATGTTTTTTATCCACATATAAAAAAGTATAGAAATACAGAAGTTATTTTTATAATATAATAATCATAATTAATATAGACACAATATATAATATCACAATTTGTGAAAACTAAAAGTTTATGGTAACAAAAATCTTTTCGCTTGTTTTTAATTTCAAAGAAAGAACAATTCAAGCCAGATATGTCATTTTCTAAATCATACCTACCAAATTTTAGCTCTATTTTTGATGCTAGGTTTGAACTATCCATAATTTTTTATATTAAGTTTCACTATTAAATTAGGATATTATTATTATTATTCAGTAAAGATAACATCCTTTTTTAATATTTTTAGCATTTTAATGTGCTTATTATTAATCGACGAGAATAGTCTTTAACTCTTTTGGGATTTATTTTATGACTTTGCTTAAAAAAATATCAAATAAGGATATGTTATTACTATTATTATTATTATTCAGGAAAGACAGCATCATTTTTCATATTTATAGCATTTCAATGTGTGCATCATTAATCGATGAGGCACGTCGTGTTTTGAACTCTTTTGGACTTTATTTTACGACTTTACTTAATAAATATCAAATAAGGATATGTTATTATTACTATTGCTATTATGCAGGAAAGCTACCATCATTTTTCATATTTATAGCATTTCAATGTGTGCATCATTAGTCGATGAGACACAACGAGTCTTGAACTCATTTGGACTTTATTTAAAAATATTAAATTAGGATATTCATGTTATTATTATTATTATTCAGTAAAGATAACATCATTTTTTTCCCTATATATATATAACATTTTAATGTGCGCATCGTTAGTCGATAAGACACATCGAGTCTTGAACTCATTTGGACTTTATTTAAAAATATCAAATTAGGATACTAATGTTAATATTATTATTAGTAGTACTTTTGTTATTATTATTCAATAAATATAGCATCATTATTAATATTATTTACCTTTTAAGTAAGATACAATTAAATCGAATTATTGTTGTTATTATTATTATTATTATTATTATACAGGAGGATAGCATCATTTTTATCATATTTATAACATTTCAACATGCGCAT